ACTTAGAATGATATTAAGTAAGAGAAGTTAAATAACTCTAAGCTATCACTTTCATTTTGTCTTAATCGGCACATCATTCAATTACATCCCATGTAATAAATGGTGAAGCTATTAATCTTTAATAAGTGAAATGTATATAGTATGTTAATATTATTATGGTGTACAACAATCATCAGAGTTACATTACATTGATGACAATAAAAAGCTCAACGTAAACAGTTTTACGTATTTACTCAAAACGATTTCTAGAAAACAAGAAGTTTTTGACTGATGAAATTTATTTCTTTATTTAGTGGCTTTTATTGTGAAAGATATTATCTAGCACTGAAAAATGTGGTGAGAATATAATTTATGGACGATCTTTGAGCGACCTTGAGAGTGTTTACCGACTTACTAGGGCTAAATGAGGATTATAAGGCAATTTCGATAGTTGATATCATGAGTCAATTGAAGCTAGACCACCATGGGAAACCTGAAAGCACTGGGAGGCCGGTTCGTTCTATTGTGGGACTCCTCAGCAGCGCGCATACACGACCCTGCCTGGCGGGATTCGAACCCGGGACTTACTAGTCTCGCGCGCGAGCGCTTAGCTACTAGGCCATTGAACCGGAGTTTTGAAGAACAAGGATTATGGTTCACAATTGATGGTTAGGGTTAGGAAATAGATTTACGGTCTTTCAACACGAAATGACATAAGCTAAAATGCCAAGATGTTATCTCGACAAATGAATGACTGAATCTCGCGCCGAAATCCAATATTTGTAATCCTAAATCTGATTGGTTTATCTATAAATTTCGTAGTATAACAACCGTGAAAATTTTTAGGTTGTTTAATGATCGGTTTCCTTTGTTTCTGAATAATTTTAAAAGTGATCACTTGTAAATAATGTCGAACTGTATCAATAATGATTTCTGATAAGATAACGAAACGATCCAATTTATTTAACCATTGAAAACCTAGTTAGAATAGATATCTGTTTTGTCTTAGTATGAGACTCTTCATTGGTGTGTATCCACCACACAGTTATCACATTTCTTATGAATATCTGAAGTAATACTTAAAATAATTCAGGTGAATACTTCTGAATAGTATACTTAAAGTAGTATGAACAAATATCTCTATAGATAGCTGAACTATTTTTACCATAATCAATATAACTTATTATCAACAGAATTCATATATGAATAGAATAATAATAAAATCATACACATCAAGCAAACTTATCAAGTCAATTTATATGACAGGATTTTGGTTATTTATACAATAATATACATTAGTATTGTAATGTTATATATATATATATATATATATATATATATATATATATGCGTCAAAATGTAATCATTTAATGATAATGAGAAATATTTAGTATGTCAATTGTTTTGTTATGTCATCAATCTAAAGTAGATCTAATTCCATCATTTAAATCCTTCATTCATTGACATTTCACTTAATTTACCTTTACATTTTCAATCATCTCTTTTTTCATACATAAATCATTCATCTAAACTTGTAAACAGATAAATAAATAAATAAAATATCATTTAAATTACACATTTAATCAATATTTTTCAAGTAATTCTCTTTAACTGATTGAAATCATGAGTCAATTGAAGCTAGACCACCATGGAAAACGTGGTGGGACTTCTCAGCAGTGCGCATACACGATTCCGTTTCGCAAGATTCGAACCCAGGACTTATCAGTCTCGTGCTCGAGCGCTTATATAAACAAATCTAATGTATGTCAATACTTCATTTTTTAAAATTTTTTATCTCCGGTTGTACAGTGTAATCTATTTTCTGTACATAAAAAATTATCAAAGTGAAGAAGACAGCTATACTCCAAAATAATACATTTCTATGGTGGTTATTACAGTCCAATTATTTTCGTACATTTAAAAAAATGTACCATGCTCCATTCGACAAATAGTTTGAATGCACATTATTAGTTGTCTAAATGATTCAAAGAACTCTATTCTGAAATCAATTTAGAAAATTAACTTTCTTCTAATGTCAGATGCAATTAATTTAAATAAAGCCATAATAAATACTGATGCAGAATAATATGAATTCATTATATTTCGTAGTTTCTCATCAGCTGCTTACAACCAAATATATTTTAGAATTTTACATAGAGGTAAGAAATAGTATGAAACAAGTAATATAAGTGAATGTGAAGAATAGGAATGGCAAGGGTTATCAATAATAACTATATATATATATATATATATATACAAGAGCAGGTCAAAGGTTATTTGCTGTTAGAATCAAGGAAACATTGAGGATGGGTGATGTAGTCGTTGAATGGAGTTCAGAGGCATTAATGCTATCTTTTATTTTTCTCTAAATTCTTATTCCTTTTATTGAAATAGTTTATACATAATTTCATTTGTAAATGCACAAATTATCAATGGATTGTGAAATCTACTTTTATCAAAACAAATTTCCTACAAATGCATTATTGGTTAGTAATCTAGTACTCAATACTTGGTAATGGTAAAACAAATTGAATTTGTTTTCGAACAGAATAGTGAATCTACTGATATCATTGAACTGTAATAACACTATATAATACAATGTTATCGAATTGATTCTACTATACTGGGTAAGTTGAACGGCACCAAGCTCAATATAATAATTAGAGCACCTAAGTTAGATCCTAGATATGAAATAGTAATATCAATAGGATTCAAACGATACTTCATGTCGATTCCAACTATTCGCTAAAGTTTTCTATGTGAAAGCTACTTCAGTGTTATGTATAATTTCCGCCGGAAATCGTTATTATTAAACTCTTCATATTTAATGATTAGTTTACAATAAATCTAAACACGATAACTAGGATACTCACTCTACCTAACTGAGATATTATGATTATGGATGTAAATAGATAAATAAATAGTCAAATTATACCTTCACATACACTACTTTGAGTTAATTTAATTTTAATGACCTGTATTTATTCGGTAACTTGTCAATTGAGTTTAACGGAAGCTGATAAGTTTTTATTGCATTATGATTGTCATTTGGTTTCTAAGTCGTAACTTCATGATCACTTATGATCAGTAAAGCTGAAGAGCCTACTGAAAACCTTTACTTCTCTTGAGAATGAATTATGTACTTTTCAATATTTTACTAAGATACTTCTTGTTATAAAAATTAACTATGATCGTAAATGGAAATTATACAGGTAACATATAAGCTAATTATCCTTTATCTTTTCAACAAGATCATTTACTTAAGCTGTATCTTCATATTTATAATTGTATGATAAATATATGCCTATAGAAAGATAGAAAAGATTGTATCATAAACTGATAGAAAACTCCTATTATTAAATGAGGTTAAATAATAATCAAGAGGTAAGGGAAGAATGTAAGGATAAAAATAATTTACCGGTCAAAATTATGAAAGATAATTGTCTATTTAACAGATATCAAGTAAATGATTTCATCGTAAAGAAAATTTTATCCACCGGATTCTCTTTCTTTTTATTCAGTGACTCAGTAAATAATTAATCCAAGAATTCTATATAGAACTACTGCGTTTTCTTAATCAAGATCAATAAGACGATGAAGTTCTAAAGTATCATACTGCAAGACGAAGGAACTGGAAAAAAATGAGTTTTATGTTTGATTTATATATACTTTAAAGAATTTTACTGGCTGTGATAAAAAGAAATTTCTCACGAACAGAGTTACAGCGAATTTAAGATACTCCGTTTAGGAAAAAAGTGTCATTTCATACAGATGAATACTGACTTATTTAGAGATAGTCTTAATTTTATTTAAGTAATAATCATTATGGATTGAAGCTATCTGGAGTACTGTTGAACAGATCTTTTATTTATGACAAATATCATACAAACATTTCGTCCAAATGTCCTACCATCACTGACGGAACTGGGCAGTGTCAGGAGATAGAATGTTATCAACGATCCCAGTGAATTATTGCCACGTTGTGTCGTAGATAGATTGGAGTTAGACATGAAGATCGATAAGTCGGGTTTCAGTAATTCAAAGATCAAGTGATCAATACAAAACCTAGAGTCCCTAGTTTCAATCACCATCAAGGTTGTGGTGTAGTGTACGAGAACACAAAAGGGGACAAACAAATGCATTTGAACACAAAATTATACAACATGTTAGTAAAATCTGAGAACCATACAGTAAATATTTAATTTGTAAAATATTAACCAAATGTCTCAAACTTGGTTGTTCCTTTTGAAAATATCAGTCAACCGTCTCAGACTTCATTGTTTTTTCGTTTCCACACCAATCATTCTTTGTTTTCACTCTCTTTTCTTTGATCTTTTTAACCTTCTACCACCAACCATTTCACTTTCGATTGATGATACATACTACTTATATCTATCGACATCAGTAGCACAGACCATAATGACTGAGAAGTTTGGAACTATGTCGAAATAACTCCATAGTACCCCGTTAATCTATACTAAATATTAGTCCGTATTCTAGACCAATTTAACGAGAATTATCAGAAAGCGTTTTGTGGAGATTTTAGGAATTTTCACTGATTGAAATCATGAGTCAATTGAATCTAGTCCACCATAGAAAACCTGGAAGCACTGGACGGCCGTCTCGTCCTAGTGTGGGACTCCTCAGCAGTGCGCACCCACGATCTCGCACCCCGCCAGATGCGAACCCGAGACCTATCAGTCTCGCACCAGGCGCTTAACCAACTAGACCACTGAGCCGGCCAGTATCCAACGGTGTTAATGTCTAACTTCAAACAATCCACGAAGTTGCGCGAGACTGGTAGGTCCTGGGTTCGAATGCCACAGGGTGCGTGATCGTGGGTGCGCACTGCTGAGGAGTCCCATACTAGGACGAAACGGCTGTCCAGTGCTTCCAGGTTTTCCATGGTGGTCTAGCTTCAATTGACTCATGATTTCAACCACTGAAATTACCATAATGTCCACAAAAACCCTTCTGATATCTATTTATTTATTTATCTGTATAAATATTTATTACTTTAGACGGATACCCCAAAGCCATCACGATATTTAACACGTACACAAGGTCTTTCAAGTAATAGTGGGAGTGGTATTGGCAGTGTTGGTGTAGGCAGCAGTTGTAGTGTAACTGGTACATCAACTTCATCTTACTCAGGACTTCCACAATATCCACGTAGGTCACCAAATAAAATTGGTTCAAATACAAATTATACAGTTGGTGGGATAGGTACTAGTTCATCATGGAATTCGGTAAGCTATATATCATGACTTTTGATCTTATAAAACTAAGTATTTTCTAATAAAATAATTTTAATTTAAAACTTCTTAATGTGTTGGAAGTTTACTTCAAAGTTTGATGTATGAACAATAAAAAATTACCATCTCGACTACCTACTAATAAGTAGAAGAGTGTTCAGACACTAACCCAGTCAACTATAAAGAAATTACGGAAATGAATAGATTTAAGGAAATAAAACTTTCGCGTTCAGTCGCAAGCTTAATGTGATAAAAATGTGTGATGTAATCAACTTTAATGGACGGGACAAATACTAATGTTAACTGACCAATACTAGAAAATCTGACAAACATAAACTTCATAAACAACTAAGAACTGACTTTTTGACTCACCATAGATTTCATTTCATCTCAGCTGTGTTTCATCGATGAAACTGGTGATTATGTTTTGATTCGTTGATATTTTGAAAACGTAAAACTATCGGGAAACGTTATATTGCGTGGACACATGGCTTCTTGTAGTGGTTGACTTGTTAGCGTATATGATTAGCTGAGATTCTCCAATACCGTCATCACCATGCTGATTTCGCGTGTAAGTGATGGTATCTCAAGCATGAAGGAAAGAAAGTGTTTCTGATATATCGTATTTTACTAGTTACGAACCATTAGGGCAATAATATTGAAATTAACAAAAAGCTAACGAGATGGACCTACTTAAAAACAAAACGCTAGAAACCTTGGGGAAATAACTAAGGTGGTAAAGAATTACGGCTCTATATCCGAATTAGTGGAGTACTGTATGCAATAACAAATAATTGTGTTTAGCGTGATTTCACTTCTTACCTTAATAATAATAATAATAATAATAATATATATATATATATATACGAACAAGAAAGTGGAGATTTATTTGTTGCTGACTAGTGTTAGCAGGGAGTAGTTTAAAGTATACTTTCTTCAGTATGCAATTGTCCATCTCTTTCTAACGTCTACCCTTCCTCAATAAATGGAATTATTCGCAGCTTAATGCTTTTAGTATTTCAATGAATGTTTATGCGTTGTTTCATTCTGTTTGCCCTGATAGGATTTGAGTAGTGCTGCAAGTAAAACACCTAATTACAAACAGTTATACGAAGAAGAAAAACTGCTAACAAATGGTTTACGTGAAGAGGTGAAAGCAGCCCAGAAAGAACTGAAAGAATTAGAAGACGTTTTGGAAAATTCAGTTGGTAGAAGAAGACCTAGTGAGGTTGAACAAAGGGTAAGTAAAACTGTTTGAAGTAAATTTAGAAATTTTCTTTTAGAAGATATGATGCTAAGAATCTAAAAGGGTTGGCAAGGTGGTTTGGTCAAGTTTAAGTATTTTTAACAATTGTAAAATTGTGACTACTTTCTGGAAATGAATCGCAAGCTGTGTTGTTATATAACTAAGTACTTTCTGTCATCACTCAGTTTGACTTAAAATTAATTGTCATTAGCTGTAATGTAAGACAGTATTTATTCAACTGGAAACGATCTGAATTCATTTATATTGTTTGTATATCCTCACAGAACGCGCATATGCCAAGAGAGACTAATCAGTTTCACTTCTAAACATCAATAGAAGAATTCAAACAACCAATACAAATTTATTGAACTCTTCCCCAGTGCCGGAGCCAGTAACTAACTGGACTCAGTGCACAAGTGGATAAAGAGATGGAATTTGAAGCGAACGGCAATTGATCCGAGTCCTGGAGTGAATATGAACTCTAGGATGCAGGTGTATCTAGCAGGCAAGTCCCGAATAGGACGAAACGCACGTCCTGTATCTCACTGATAGTCACTATTCATTTCTGTCTATAACGATCTGTTGTTAGATTTATTCTCTTTGGAAGCCTGAAACTGTAAAAAATAACTGTTTTGTTTTCTGTAATTCCTATATACTCTACAATCAGTGTATGCTTTCGAATATGACCATGTGTAGGTAGGTAATCATCTTCAGTTTATGTCCAATTTTTAAAAATCATCAGTTATCTACTTGTTTAAGTATGATAAAGCTTATCTTTAAATGAATGATTTCAACCAAATTAAATGACCTGTTTCGAGTACGTTGTAAATTCATCTAACGATTTCCAAATGAGTTCACAGTAAACTTCAGTTTATAAACAATAACAGTATGCATCATTGATACACCACAGTCTCGAAGAAAGCTGCACCACTGTTCATGTTGTTTAAAGGTTACTTAATACCTCAACTTATCGTATTGGTAACACAGGAAGTTTATTGAGTCGTTCAAAGAGATCTAGGTTTTATGTACTTACAGAGAATCGTATATTATTATCGAGCAATCCTCTTAACGAAAGTTATGTTTCACCGCATTAATTGGAGGTAAACAACAAATTTGAAGTCAGTAAGTGACTATTTATAAATCCAGAAGTTATTTCAAAATAAAAGGATAACTGTAGTCCAACTGGTTTCTGTTTCAGTGTGGATAACAACTCCATCTAAAATATGTTTCAAATTTAAACAGAAAAATATCTTACGAATCTCAAGATGTATTTCTTATCTTTTTCAGAAATTTCAAGTTTAAATAAACTAAGGTCAGAGATTGGTTTGTTCTACTCCCTTAACTCTTCAGTTTCATTTCATTTTTGTGTCATAACTAATTTGTTTATGCCTGTAATCAGTTCTAATCTGAAATAAAGCTATTAATGTTTTTTAAAGAGCTATTGTAAAGTACAAAGTTAATGTAGTTTTGATTAGTATCAGAAGGGGTTTTGCAGAGATTCTAGTAATTTCAATAGTTGAGATCATGAGTTAATTGAAGCTAAACCACCATGGAAAACATGAAAGTTTTTATTGTCTATAGTCTTTAATTGTTTTGTTAGATAAGCATCCTTTCTCACAAAAATTAACTTAAAACACAATGATATAATTCTACATTGGTTTAGTCAAAAATGTTATATATATATATATATATATATATATATATATATATATGAATTATATAAGATTCTACAAAACGAATGATACTGTAGTTCATGCTACTGATATCAGCTATAATGTTAAAATAATATTTCTTCAAATGAGTGAATGAATTTCGAGCCAAAATCCAAAACCTGTTATCTTATATCTGATTGGTTCATCCATAAATTATACTTTCACCGAGTTATATTTTATGTGTAAACTAACAGCATGACTAGTTTTTCTTTAGCTTTTGTGAGATTAAACTTTATAATTAAGTATTTTTCATTTAGTTATCAGTGGAAATATGATAATACATTTGTAAATGTTTTTATTTTGTTTGTTTAATTTTAAAGAAAATAGAAAGAAGAATATCAGAATGTGAACAAGAACTTAAAGTAAGTCAGATAAAATTGTGATATTGACTAAGTAGGGAAGATTTCTAGCTCAAGTGGATGATTTTGACAGAGTTTGTTCTATGAGCTGGATGGTTTATATGTATGGGATATTTGGTTTGTGTAGTTTTCTGGACCTGCATTAGAATTGAGAAAGCACTGGTCCATTGAATTTCATTCTCCATTAATATTGCTTTGTTATTTCTCTTGCTTTGACGAGCTTGTTCAAAGTCTTTGAGATTCGGTTGTCTAAATTTTTGACTGAACTTATGTTTATCGGTTTGTATATGTTTTTATCTTCAAGTAGTTCCTTGGCTTCCTTGATGTATTCTTCTTTTTCCATAATCACTGTGGTGCATCCTTTGTCAGATGGAACAATGACAATATCTCTTCTAGTTCTGAGTTTCTATATTACTTTTTATTCTTCTGAAGTCGATTGGTAATTGCCCTTCATCCGTTAAGTTAGCCGTACTATAGTTTGTCGTATTTCTTGTTGCGTTTCTTCATTTATTTTGGGAGTTTTGAGTGGTGACTCTAGTGTTGCGAAGAATTCCAGTTTTGAGGCGATCAAACCATCCAGCTCAGAGAACAAAACTTTACCAAAATTGTGATATACTTGAAGAAACATAAGAAATCTATCATTATTTTAGATTGTTAATGATTATATTATTAAATAGACATAAATTCCAATTCTATAATTATTTTCATATTATAATGAATTAAAGTATAAGCATATTGTACATGATTTATGTATTTATAATGAATTTTGTGTAGTAGATTTTATTTGAGGTATCTACTAGGAATTAGTAGATATTATTATAATTAAAGAAGAATTTCTTATTTCTTAGTTCATTTCCTGGTTTCCTGTTAGGTTTACTCATCAAACTATAGTGTTATTGACATTATGAATTTAGATGATAGTATAAACAATAAAAATGAACCTGTAATTATATTGCTTGAATTATATTAATTTATTAGAATAATCGAAATGAATCATTTTATCTAACAAACCAGACTATAAATCTACTTGTGACTTATCTAGGTGTGAGGCAGTTACCCACCTAAGACAATAGATTGATTGAAGTTAAACCTTAACTCCATTAGATGCCGGCTCATCGATTTAGAAGTTAATTGTTCACATGAGAGGTCAAGGGTTCTGGTTTCGAAAGCCGCATTTGAGATCGTGGATGCGCACTGATGAGGAGTTCTGTACCAGGACCAAACGGTTGTTCAATGCTTCCAAGTTTTTAATGGTGGTCTAACATCGATCTGGTTAGCGTTTTTTAGAGAGTTAGTTTTCTACGGGATGGGGTCGCTAACCCCATGCTCAACTCTCCTCCCTTATCCGGGTTTGGGACCGGCAGTAGCCCCAGAGAGGCTCCGGGCGGGTACGCGAAGGCACGGATCGGCAAAGCAAGAGCAGCATATTTACAACTGAAGAACATCTGGAATTCAAAATAACTGTCAACCAACACCAAAGTCGGAATTTTCAATACAAATGTCAAGACAGTTCTACTGTATGGGGCGGAAAATTGCAGAACTACGAAAGCCATCATCCAGAAAATACAAGTGCTTATTAACAGCTGTCTACGCAAAATACTTGAATCCGTTGGCCAGCAACAACCTACTGTGCGAGGTAACAAACTAGATTCCAGTGAAGAAAGAAATCAGGAAGAAGCGCTGCAAGTGGATGAGACACATATTGAGGAAAGCACTCAACTGCGTCACAAGGCAAGCCCTCACATGGAATCCTCAAGGCTAAAGGAGAAGAGGAAGACTAAAGAACACATTACGTCGAGAAATGGAGACAAACATGAGAAAAATGAACAAGAATTGGATGGAACTAGAAAAGGAGGCCCAGGACAGAGTGGTTTGGAGAATGCTGGTCATCAGCCTATGTCCCATTGGGAGTAACAGGCGTAAGTAATTAAGTAAATAAATAACATTGATCTGTTCATGATCTCAATCAAAATCTAAGATTCTCCCATTTTGATACCTTTCTATTTCTCAATCATATTGTTGTTTTTTTTTTGTGCATATTTTAGTTAATTGAGAAATTACGTGCTGAATCTGAAAAATTACACGCTGAACATCGAGCACTTATCCGAGTGGTATCACGTTTAAACAGAGAACAATAAACATTTTTTTAAATAATGACAATTTACCATTTTATTTATTTATCATTATTCAATTAACATGAATAATGAAATAAAATTCTACTATTTACTTCTTCAAATATGATAGTTCTATTTATACATAAAGATCCTTTTTTTTAAAAAAAAAATGTCATTTGAGTATTATGAATAAATAAAATTGGAGTATTTATCAAATGAAACTTTCTATTAAAGTCTCATTTTATGTTATAAATAGAATTGGAATATACTCTATTAGTTTTAATATCATCATCACCACCCCCTTTTTCTTTTTAAAAAAAATGACGTCATCAATGCTATGACGTAACATCCGATCAGTGTTTATTGATTGTTTTAATTTTGTTGTTTAATTATTGTCATTTCTTATTAATGTAAAAAATATATTAATCAATATGTAATTGTTTATACTAACAATCAAGGTATAAATTGAATACATAAAAGATCGAATGGTTACAAATAATTTATAGTTTATATATTTGTTTACTTGGTTGGATAGAGAATGTTGGTAAGAGGCTTATGCTCCTTCACGAGAAGTAACAGGTGTAAGTAAGTAATTAATATTGTGGTGTGTACTTCTATCCACACAAGTTGTATATAACGGTAGTCAGACATAGAATGTATTTCAGTTGAACATCGATAAGGAAAGAACGGGAACGGAACGCAGTTGGTATGAAAATGCATGAAAAATGAAATCTGAGACAATGGACTGATATTTGTAAAAGGAACAGTCAAGTTTGAGACGATGGATTGATATTTTGCAAATTAACCATTTGATATATGGTTCTCAGATTTTAGTGAGATACTGTGTAGTGGCGTGTCTACCATATACGATTATCTTCACTCCTGTTGTTGTTCACTATAATATTTGTTTATAGTGCATGCAAATACAGTTGAGTAGAATCCATGAATTATGACATTTTTATGTTATTCTGATTTAGCTTCAGTGTTTTCTTGATTACAAACTTACAAATTATATTAATTTTACCAAGTGAGTATATAATTGTTTAGATTGTTGATTGATTGGAGGTAGTTGGTATGAAACTTTACAACTAATTTCATGTTATTTGGTACTCTTCAGTAGGGTATACCTGAAATCTTGAAGGAACTGGTGTTGACTGACGTATTTCATTCTATACCATCAAGCTTCAGTCAGAAAGATTATTATTAAATTATTGAATGATCTCCTGTAGGAATGTGATATTTATTACTGATTGATTATTGAGTGTTGATCATAGCCATGTTTGTTTAGTTATTTAGATGCTGACTGACAAAATTAGATCAGAATTAAATGGACTAGAAAAATATGACACTAACCATCCTTCAGTGATCAACCAGATGTAAATGTTTACTTTACTACTTGTAGTAAAAATGTTCTTGCAACTGGAGTATCCATGTTCAAATTGAGGACGAAATCCAACATACTTAATCATTGACAATTTTCAAACCAGAATGAGTGAACGAATAATAAAGATGCTGATGACAGAGAATGAGATATTACTCTACCCGAACTTGATGAATTGTACCAACGCTTTAGCTTCTTTGACTATCCCCACCAAAAGAGTGAATGTCATATTCTTCTCTTTTAATCGACTCTGTTCGTTTAGTCTGTACTGCTACACTATCCAATCACTAAAACATCCCTTTTTGAAGAGCAGACAGGGAGTACAACAGTACACATACAAGTCCCACTTACTACCTTTAGCTTTTTATTGACTTGCTTAAGGTATTATTTACTCAACGCTAGTTTAGGTATGGACAGACGAGAATGTTGTTGATACACTGAAATGTAAACTGGAGAACAGTAAGTGACTTCTTTATCTCACTAGTGTATTGAATTTTACATCGTAGTTTGGATCGACCCAAGGTAATTTCAAGTTAGTGAAGTCTTTAATATGTACTTATTTAAAGACATATATATATGTCTAAATACATCTTGTCTCCTACCGTTGTCATGTGTAATAAACACATATTCTCACAAGCTTATTAGTCAACCGAAGTGTAGCAGGAACTGGAGGTTTAGAGAGGAATAATCTTTTCAATTTAACGGATGTCATTTGTCATTTCATTTTTTTTAATAATCAAGGAAAAATTATAATATGGTCAATGATGTGTGAAAATGTAAGCTACTAATATATAGGCTTCTTCAAGTTAAAAGTTACTCTTAATCACAAAGTATGAATGAAGTCGTTCACTCCGACATCAAAATGTTTGATGATTCAAAGAAATGTTGAATTTTTTACAGTTTTGTTAACAGTTCTCATATTCATTACACTATATCTTCTCAATGAGCCGAAAAATTAAGTTTTCAATTTTGTTGATGTTTCGTGACACAGCGTAAGCCTCTTCTTCAGAGAATAAATAACCAAATTAAATTAATCCAAGTTTGAGTAGTACAAAATGTAGAAATATTTAATGAGCAAAATTATGTCTGTATAAATCTCAGTGATTAAACATTTCACTCGGCAGTCTGATTTAAGCTTTTTCATGAAAATATAATCAAACATCAAAATTATGTTGAAAATAAGATTTGGTTCAGTGAGTATAAGAAATCTGATGTGAGTTTGAAGGATGACGAAACACGCGTCCTTTAATTATGCGTGTTTGCTTATAGTGCTTGTGACCTAAGACAATATCAAGTCAATCCTCATAGGATGAACATATCATAATAAGAGACTGATCAATTGCAGTGCTAAACATCAATTGAAAGATTCATATAAACAACACATAGTGAATTTGGACAGTATAACGGAGAGAAAACGCCAAAGACCGAAAGTGCTTGACGAGACAGTATAGTTATTTCTTTTTCATCTTTGTCTTTTATCTTAGCTTTTATTCAGATCTCTTATAACCACATTTAAATTTCCTTAGTCTTTTTTGTCTAAACTTCTATTATTTGGCTTTGGTTAAAAAACCTACCATTATTACTTGATATTACTGTCGGACGTTGTCAGGACATTGACAATGGAGCCGTGTTTGATTGAACTAAGGGTTCAGTTGATGGATGTTGACCTTTGTCTGTCTACCGAGTACGATTAATCGGATTCTTGCAGACAGACATTCAATCTCTTGTTGAGAATGCTTTTATTACTCCTCAGGTACCAAACACTCATTTATTAACCATTTCTTTTGCTTTTCAACACGTTGTTTTGTGCTAGAGAAATCTTCGACTGTATAACATAGGCTGTGCTGGTTGAAGCATTTTGTACTTTTGGTATAACTTGTTTTCTTTACTAAAGAAGAACCGATTAAATTAGAGTTTGCGTTTTGTTGTAGTTTAATACAAATCACTCGAAAACATTAAGTACACCATATAGAACGTGGTTTGACCTGATCGAATAAACTCTGGTTCGTTGGTTCCGCGTTCAGAATAAATACTGAAATTTCGGTAGTTTTAATCAGTATTATCTGAACAGTAACAATTTGTTCACCTTTTCATTATTATTATGTCTGTATGAATATGATTGTTTTACCAAATGTGACAGCCTATGCATATACCAATCGCCGTGGCCTAAATAAAAGTTGCTTAAATCTTACGATGAATCATTTGCTTTCGTATGAATATATATGCTTGAATCTAATCAGTTTATTTGACTATTCACTTAAATCCTTATTCGTCTCTGTATTCGCACATTCATGTAAGCAATTCTGCTCGAATTTGCTTGTTGTGCTTGAGGCATACTGATCTATTCCGTTCAATAATAACATGTAGTCTGAGCTTCGTGTATGCATCCCAGATTACACACTGTTGGAGTTTACTTAATATCAAATATCAAGACAGCTGATATACGAAGATAATTCACTATACACTTATTATTTCGTACATGACTTGAGATCTTTTGATTGTAACACTGTAGTGTGACTTGCCAAAGTTTTCATATCGAGGATTACTGGACGCAAACTGCCTAAACGAGTATTACATAGATGAATTATTAGAGATGACGGCTTTTCATGTGTTGTGACCTACTTTTATCAGGAGAACGCGATCGGTTTAATGGGAACAATTATTATTATAGCCAATTGTACCAGGGATTGTTTTACTGTACTTGTTTGTTTAACTGTACTAAAGACATTCCCTCTTCCGTTGATTGTGACCATGCACGGATTCGGTTACGCTCAGTAACCACACTTGTAACCTGGCACGATCTCGGTATTCTTTTGATACGACGAGATCGCCAACGAATACATTGTAGTGACTCACATTTGTCACGAGAACACGACTGGTTTAATAAAAGCAATTATTATTATAACCAACTGTACCAGTGCTTGTTTTAATGTGCTTTTGTTTGACTGTGCTAATGACAGTTTTATTTGGCTTCCATTCCTTTACTTACACTTTGATTGTAACTTCGCGCGAATTCGGTTACGTTCTGTAACCAAGCTTGTATTCTGGCACGATCTCGGTATCCTTTCGATGCCACGAGATCGCCAGCGAATACATCTCGATTTGGTCCATTAACTGTCTTCTGATATTTGGCTTCTCGGGATTTTATGGATTTATTTGGTTACGTCCAACCTTCGCCTTCTGATTAACTTGGCACGTGTTTCTTGGTAGCGGTGTTCATAGTTAACCTCAACTCGACGCCACGCTACAATTGGTGAGCCGTATTTTGGAACACGCCTCAACATCTGGTCAAATCTTCCAAAGAAGCCAATTCGGTGAGTCTATGATTTATCTATCCACGTCTGTCGTATATTTTCATATTTTTTAATATATAATATACTCGACATGACGGATAACGATAAGAATAGTATTAATATAATAGACTCACATTTATGTGTACCGAATCCTTGTCACTTTTTATTCGCGTGACGATGAATTCCACGCTTTATTCGAGAAATTTTCCCCTATTAACTATTCTCCTCGCTGACCCGGCTGCTTGGTACGGAATGCATACGCATAAGCATATCTGTCTACCACCCAGCACCAAATGGTTAAGTAAACGGTTTCACTGCCAACTTAAAAGTGCTCTACGAGCACACGAAAA